GCATTTTTTTGTTCTGGAGTTGTGTAGCATGCTGCACATCAAATGTTAGTCGCTGATAATATTATTTCCACACAAGCCTCAGTCCTCCAGCAATCCGCTCCACACAACAATTTTGCTTTCAGACACACGTGGAGGACAATGGATGCTTAGTCATTGTTTCTCTTGACTGGATGCCCTGCTAACAGCATTACAGAGAATCTGATAAACCTGCTCTGATAATTAGAGAAACTCATCGACAATTATTTGGACTCTACATAAAGTGTCACACAAAAGGATAAAGTTAACCTGTTGAATATAAAATGTGCATGACAAGTGCGAAATATGCCATGGGACAGTCTAGATCTCCATGTTTGGAGAAGATGGTCATGATAGATTATAGAACATTGGTAATATGGGTGAAAACTAAGAAGTGGTTTATATTGCTAAAGAAAGGCCACAGGATATGTGGGTACTCAGCATCTAAGAATAAAAATCTGGCTACTTATTTATGTGCTTTATCATCTTAAGCATCCAAGTTTGATATTAAGAACCAAAAAGAGTTGAACATTGTTCTGTCCGACTCTCCGACACTGCAGAGGGGGATGTGTAAATGAACAGCATGTTAAAAAAGGCACATTTCTTCTTTAATAAGGCATACTGCTAATACCTTTAAATACTGAAACATTTCAATTATCTTTTCCCATTTATTGGCTGATTTCTGGATTCCACTCAGACAAAGAAAACACTAGTCATTTTAAGGACTGATTATACCAGCACAATGCCAGAGAATATTTAAAACAAGTGTTTGGTTTTGTACGACTACCATATCTACATTAAGCAGATGGCCACATTCTTTGAAATAGAAATCTCACTAAAATAGAGGGACGAGTGCAGAAGAGGGGTTCGTTCTTCTTGCTTCTTTTCCAGCTCTGCTACCAACTCACTGAGTGTGTGAAATCTAAAGCCCTGAAGCTCAAATGACTCTCTCCTCTCCATGACATCACAAAACGGCAATTCTAGTCTTGAGAAGCACTCAAGTTAGTACCATGTCCTAAAAAGAGGCTGCCAGCTGGGTGTTCTCTAGGAAGACTTTTCCCTAGCCATCCACTTTGGTATAAAACACCTGAGTATCAGGGGAGTGCTACAGAGTAGGGATGTTAAAATGCATGTATTTGTGTAAATGTGTAACCACTGACATTTTAATGGTTACAGGTTTACACACAGGAGAGCAGACAGGAGCTGGTAGATCCCCACGAGCACTGGCTCCCACCTGGCGCCACCACCTCACCTGATACAGAGACAGCAGGAGGGAGAGTGTAACCATGCTGGTTAACCCATGAGCCCTGGCTTATCAGTTAACTGAACACAAGTACAGGTAACATCCCTACTACTTACCCTGTAACTCCTGAGGAACCTCCTCCCCTGCTCCCAATGCATGGAGTGATTGCACCTCCAACACAAGGAGTTGTTCATAAGAAGGATCTCGGAGAGGGATGGAAGCAGAATGGGAGTACATATCCCACTTCCACCACACGAAGGCCTCACAGACCCCATGTTCTATGTGTAGTCCCCTTACTCTAAAGGGGCCTCTGTTTTATTCTGAAAAGACCCTGTGTGCTACAATCCAGACTACAATTCCCATGACCCCTTGGGAAGAAACAGGAAGGAAGGACTCTTGTGTGAGAGAAGACTGCTCTCTCCATGTGCTTGAACAAAGAGGCCTAGCAGTCTGGGACTCTGCCTTGCAGTTTGGAACCAAAGGGGGAGCCAGGCTGCTGCCAAGGTCATTGATCCAGTGCAGGGGCTGTTGGAGTGCAGCTACAGACCGTTGCCTGTTGCAATTGGGAGTTAGCAGGCTGCTTCTTATAGGCACAGCATGAGGCAGTAAGTTTTGGGCCTTGTTGGAAAAGTGCTGCCTGGGACAGAGCTGCTGTTTAGCCTGGACCAAATCTCCACTACAGCTGCAACATCAGCGCGCCAACGCAAGCAAGTGTCTGGGACTGAGTCTAGGGGTGTGCACACTCTGGGGTGGGGTCACTGGTAGTACAAATGTTAGCTGTATAAGCTTCAATTATTGTTGTGTGTTTTGTTAATGCTATTCATTTCTAATTCTGTTAATCCCTGTTTATTTAAATTAAGTAAAGATTGTTTATTTTAAAGTATTCTATTAGATGTATATGATTTGTAGTTGTTCTGGAATTAGATCCAGATTTATGTTGGAATTAGTATGTTCCTGGAGGCTCTCAAGGCACCAGTGAGTGTGTACAAGGCCAGCCAGGTGGAGGCACCACCATTTTACATTCATTGCCAGCAAGGGACTGCAGCAAGGGGGTGAAAAGGGCTTTCCCCAACTAAACACCATCACCACTGGGGTGCTCAGGATCTCTTTTAGGTAAAAACATCATGCGCCCATGCACACCTGCGAGTAGTAACCCGGGGAAAAAAAAGGAGGTAACATATGGGACCATTCATGGTGAAAGTGGGAGAAGCGATGGAGATGAAAGTGGGAGAATCCAGGCTGTAGTTCACTACACCATCCTCAGGCATCCTAGTAAAACCCCTACTTGGGGCTGGACTGGGGTTTTGCAGGTCCTGGGTCTGCCCTGAAGTGTGGCTGTGTGGCCTGCATTTATTGTTCCTGCCCCGGCAGCAAACTGACTTTGTCTAGGGTGAGTCTGGCACTGGCTCTGCTGCATCAAGAGGCTTCACTGGGTCGCCGGAGTGTGCATTCCCAGAGATTTCATGGTCACCCTGGAGTCTGAGGCTATGAAGCCTGAGTCCATTAGTACTAACAAACCCAGGCCCTATAAAAGCAAGTCCTAAAGCATATACTAGAGGGGCCTGGAGCCGTGCGGACCACCTCTGCGGAGATGGTGTGGGCAGCTGCGTCTGCTGCACCCAGAGAGGCCTAAGAGTGGTTCTGGCCACAGTTTTCCCTTCTTCCAGAACAGATGCAAACTCAGTTGACTAACGGCTCTTGCTGCTGAGAGTCCGAGTCCTGCCTCTGTGCCCTTGAGCCACTGGGTGGCTTAGAGCTGCTCTCTGGGGAGAGTGAACCTGCCCTGCCCTTTTGTGGTGTTGGAGCCGCACCAGTGATGGGAAGCCATCTCCTGGCATGGTGCCAGTGACTTACAGTGCCCTGGCTCTTTGACAGAGTCCTTTGTTGGTGCTGATTCCTGTATAGCGTCCAGGGCACTGAACACCAAGGAGGCTGGGCCTGGGCGGTCGGGTGCCTCAAATCGAAGTGTTGCTTTCTCCAGGAACTACTTCAAATGAAAGTTTCTTTTTTGTGAGGTTTGAAAGTCTTGCCAATTTCACAGTGCTCTGAGTGATCTGCCTCCTGCAAGCACCTACGGCATGGGTCATGAGAGTCGCTAATCGGCACAGACTCATGACAAGTACTTAAATCCCTGGAACAAAATACAGGACTATGTAGCACTTTAAAGACTAACAAGATGGTTTATTAGATGAGCTTTCGTGGGCCAGACCCACTTCCTCAGATCACCAGACTAACACAGCTACATTTCTATCCTTAAATCCCTGGGATTCTGGTAGGCTCCACAGCCCTGGGCAGGTGGTGGGACAGAACCACCAACTACTAACGCTACAGCAGTAACTACAATCCAATGGAGATGGCTAAGGGAACACTAGTGAGCAAGCAAACATGCTTCCAACACCAGCCGACAGTAAGAAGGAACTGCGGGGGCAGGGATGTGGTATGCCCACATCTTGAATACTGTGTACAGATGTGGTCTCCTCACCTCAAAAAAGATATTTTGGCCTTGGAAAGGGTTCAGTAAAGGGCAACTAAAATGATTAGGGGTTTGGAACGGGTCCCATATGAGGAGAAGTTAAAGCGACTGGGACTTTTCAGTTTAGAAAAGAGGAGACTGAGGGGGGATATGATAGAGGTTTATAAAATCATGAGTGGTGTGGAGAGGGCCGATAAAGAAAAGTTAGTAAACTGGTGAGACTACAGAGTTACTTACACTAAAGGAACAAATCCAAGAGTTTTTTACATTCCTTGTATGAATCATTTTTGTGTCAACCTGTGGAACTCCTTGCCAGAGGAGGCTGTGAAGGCTAGGACTATAATAGAGTTTAAAGAGAAGCTAGATAATTTCATGGAGGTTAGGTCCATAAAAGGCTATTAGCCAGGGGTTAGAATTGGTGTTCCTGGCCTTTGTCAGAGGCTGGAGAGGGATGGCAGGAGACAAATCGCTTGATCGTTGTCTTCGGTCCAACCTCTCTGGAGCACCTGGTGCTGGCCACTGTCAGCAGACAGGATACTGGGCTAGATGGACCTTAGGTCTGACCCAGTACAGCCGTTCTTATGTTTATATATACTGAGCACCATGAAGGTAACACTCTAGTGGGCTTCACAGCTGACCCGATAGGGGCCGCTATGGGAAAAAGTTTCCAATGTCTGTGCAAGCAGCACATGCACACTTGATTAGAATCCACATGAAGAAGAAACCACGATTGAAGTCACCACCCCGAAATACAAGACACAAAAATTACATGTCCAAAAGATGAAAACTAGCCAGGCTAGCATACACTGTACTGATGCCCTGTATCAGTCAAGAAGGATTTAGTCACTGCAGGATTAATGCAGAGTCTATTTCTGGCCACCCAAGACTCAACATGTTAGACAGAAAAAGACTAAAATACAAGGACAACATGCAAAGGGCACCCCATCTGAGTATTGCAAGTATCTGCAAGGTAACAAGTACACGTTTGCACTTGCTTCTCTCAAGGGCATTTGGAATCCTTGCAGAAATACAAAATTCCTAAAGCACACACACGGGATGGAGATGAGGCAAGAGCAACAAATGTCCCCTCGTTATCGGTGCTAAAGCAACTGCTGGGGTGCACTGACACAAACAAGGACCAATTTCCCCTGCCTTGCATTTTCCATACATGCTGTATTAATCTGATCCTGGCCAGATCAGTCCAGTTGCCACACTTCCTCCTGGGTTTTAAGTGAAGGGTGTCTATCTACCCAGAAGATGGCTACTTACCTCTCCATCAGCTTCTCTTTATCCCAGTTGAAATGGCTAAGTAGTATTCTGGTGATGGTTGCCGGATTCTAGAGAAAGAGAAAATAAAATAATGTACAGTAAGTACGAGGACACTCATAACTCAGGACACTGGTGATCAGTGAGTTAAAAAGGCTCTTGACAAGCAAATGTGGAGGTCAAGAATACTAAATGTTTATCTCCATGGTGAATGAACTACTAGTCCAAGCTAGGGATGTAAAAAGTAGAACCGTTTAAATGGTTAACATCAATTTATAAGCGGGCTCCTGCTGCACAGCAGCTCCCAGCTTTATATATATAAGCTTTACACACGCTGCAGGTGCTGCTGTATACCACTAGGTTTTTTAATGGTCACATTTTTAACCGATTTTTTTTACATTCTTAGTTCAAGTAGTTAAGCACATGTGAAAAACAGGCTTGTTTAAAATGTACCTGAGCATAAGCATTGTTCATAAGTTCTACCCTAGATATTCAATTAAGCAAAATGGAAAAAAAAATATTGTAAACTCAATGCTCCGCATTGTCACCACAGTGACTTCACGTCTACTGCATATCACTAAAGCAGGGGCTCTCAAACAGGGGTTTTACAAGTGTCAGCCTCCACCCTAAAACCCTGCTTCACCCCAACATTTATAATAGTGTTAAAAACTATAAAAAAAGTTTTACATCCGAAAGGAAGTCACACTGAGGCTGGCAGTGTGAAAGGGGTCGTCAGTACGAAAGTTTGAGACCAACTGCACTAAAGAGAAGGCGGGTGAGGTGGACAGAACCTCTCTAAACCATAGATGTAAAACCTCAGTTAGTTAACTGGTTACATGTTAAGTTTATCTGTTAATTGACTAAACCAGGGCTGCTCCGGGCTGGCTGCTTCCTGCAGGGCCGGAAGCAGCAACTGAATGAGCTGGGAGCTGCAGACTGCTTGATTGGAGCAGCCCTCCCCCTGCAGCAGGCTAGGAGCTGCTCCCGGGTAACTGCATGTTGATGCTTACCGAGTAACCAGTTAACTGATTACCTGTTCACATCCCTACTCTAAACCAGGACTCTAGTTCAGCAACATCTGCAGTCCACTAGGACCACGGAAGTTCCTGGGCCAGAGTCTGGCTGGGCTGGCGGCAGATGCTCCAGTGGGCTGTTAGCAGAGCTGGAGAGCGGGACCTAGAGGAGCTGCAGATTGCTGGTAGGGCTGGAAACCCAGACTGCTGGGCTGTAGGCTGGCAGGGCATCAGGGTCAGTGGCAGGAGGGGCGTGGGCATGGAGGTCCGACAGGCCTGCTGTGACCACAAGTCCAGCTGGGCCTGGCCGCTAGCCTCCTGGCCAGATGCCCTCCCCCCCCCAGCTGCCAGCTAGGAGCAAAGCTGGACTATCGGGCTACGGTAAGGGGACCAGAAGTAGTGACCTCCCCTTGTCTGGCAAAGTTTCTTGGTCAGGACCATTCAGATCCCAAGACCAGAGAGGTTCAACCTATTGTATCTTCTACTGGATCAACTTCTCTTGGTGAAAAGCAAGTTTCTGAGCTGCAGATACTCCATTCACAGTCTAAATACACGAACAGACTGTTTAGCACAGAGAAATAGTAGGGTACTGGGAATGTTGAACATTCATTAAAGGGGGTAAACAGCGAGCTGCTGACTTTGGCACAAAACAGAATTACTCAAGAGAATTAAGGCCAAAACAGACTGAGAAGTGTTACAAAGGAATCTTCACAAAACTGGGCCACTGGGCAACAAAATGGCAGATAACATTTAATGTTGATAAATGCAGAATCATGCACATTGGAAAACAATTGCAACTAGCCACACAAAACGATGGGGTCTAAATTAGCCATCATCACTCAGGAAAAACGTTGAAGAAATCATGTTGTCAGAAAACTATCCATCCACTCAATATGCAGCAGCAGACAAAAAGCTAACAGAATGGTAGGAACCATTACAGAAGGGATAGATAAAGACAGTAAATATGCCACTACATAAATCTATGATATGCCCTACTTGGATTACGCCATGAAGTTCTGTTTGCTCCATCTCAAAAAAATATTCAAAATAGAAAAAAAGTGGTGAGTAGGGCAGTACAAAATAGCTAGATATGAAAAAGATTTAAAAGCCTGTTTACAAGATTTAAAAGGCTGTGACTGTTCAGCTTGGAAAACAGAGACAACCAAGGGGGGATCTGATAGAAGTCTCGAAAATCAGGATTGGTGCAGAGAAAGTAAATAAGGAAGAGTTATTCCCCTCTTCACAACACACAAGAACCAAGGGTTATCCAATGAAATTAATAGCAGCAGGTTTAAAAACAAACACAAGGAAGTATTTCTTCACACTATACCCAACCTGTGGAACTAGTTGCTACTAGGGATGTAAAATCTCATTTAGTTAACTGGTTAAAAGTTCAGTTTACCCAGCTAGCGTATTAAACTGGGCTGGAGCAGCTTCCTGCCTGCAGAGGCTGGGCCATGGGGCTGGCTCCTCCAGCTCTCACCAGTTAATCGCAACCAAAAAGCATTACCTGTTAGGGTAATGCTAACCAGTTAAACACTCACATCCCTAGCTGCCAATGCTGTGAACACCGCTATTAGTAAACATGCTCAGGAATGCAACCCCATGCTCTGGGTGTCCCTAAACCTTCAATTACCAGAAACCAGGACTGGACAATGGGATTAATCGAATTGTCCTGTTCATTCCTTCTGACGCATCTGGCACCAGCCACTGTCAAAAGACAAGATACTGGGCTAGATGGACTTAGACCCAGTATGACCATTCCGATGTTCTCCTGGAAGCCCAGTGTGGAGCAGCTACTCTGCCCTGTCCTCAGTTTCCCCTGTAGGCTATCAAATTCAACAAGACACAGACAGCTAGTGGTGCCCCTTTAGGGGTGTGGGTGTAAGTTTATTTAACCAAAGCCCAATCAGACAAGCAATCAAGTGTCCTTGTACCTTAGCACAGGCGGGGAGGGAGGCAGATGGTGGAAAATTACTATTTGTCTACTCCATGGGAGTCCTCTGTCCAGGCTCTTCGCTCCTAATGCCTTCATGACCTGGGACCCTGTTCTGTAGTCAGGTCTGCCCTCACACCAGGGGGAAGAGCTCTCCTGACTGAGCGCCCCTACACAGGCCAACCTGATGCAGCTCCTCTCTGGAGCAGCACGTAGGTTCCCAGTTATCCGGGCCTCTTTCTTTCTGGAAAGATCCTGTGATTGGGAGGTGGCTTTGCTAGGACTGTGTCACTTTATCCTTTTGTAACTGTCTCCGTCCAGGAGCACCTTTCTTGGGTCCCCTTTTCCTGACGAGCTCCCCTGAGATGTTCCTTTTCCAGGCATTCTAGACCTCTCCTCTGCATTTTGGGGTTGGTGGAATCATTAGAAGCCCGTATCTGGCCCAGGTATTCCCTAATGTATTAAGTGCCACCCTGTCACCGGGATGGATCTGGGCTGGCTCATTCCCCTACAGAGTTTGGTCCCTGACCCTGTTGGCAGTGCCCTTTTGGTATTGGAGTTGATTTTATTGCCTGACCACCTAGGTCACAAGTTACAATTTCAAAATTTACAATCGCTAAAACTTGCACTTTAGGGAAAAAAACCTTCATTTCAATAAGGCAGTGTTTGTCCAGTGTCTCTGGCAGCGCCCTGCCAAGCATATCTGGCAAATGCCATATATGGGTTTCTCCAGCTAATCCCTGCACCATCATACACATTTAAATCAGTGTTTTGCTGTAAGACAGTGACCTCTGCCTTGCACTAGAAATCTAAGCAAGTCAACAAGAAAACACAGCAGTGAATTTGCCAGAAAGATGCACAAGGATACAAACTTTTCCTACATTATTTTTCCCTGCTGCAATGTTAAAATGCTCTTAATTATCTTCAAGTACTGTCCTCGACGGGCTGCAGCAGCCCATCAGGCCCTTGGACCACTAAATTCACAATTCTGTATTTTCCCCTTAAGCCCTTCAGAGATCAAGTGGGTACAGCAGGAGTGAATAAAGGGACCGTTTTGGAGTCAACTGCATCACACTGGCAGGAAAGCAGAAGGTGGATACAGAAGCATCAGACATCTGAAGACCAGGGACCAGTATGCTATTTTGAAGAGGAGAAACAATTTTTAGTCAAATGCTTTGGATACAGATTGAACTTTGGTGAAATAACATTTGTTTGATTTGTAATTGTACAGCATTTTGACAAAAATGAACTAGTTTCATTTGCGGAGTCTACGATTTCAGGAAAATAGCATTGCAGCTCTCTACATCAAATCTTCTAAATCTGGAACTCCAAGACATCTTCAGCAATGTAACAATAGAGAAAAAGTAAAGGAAACTATTTTCCTCTCTTCCTTCAATGATAGAAGGCTTCAGTGTCACAAGAGGGAATGCTACACCTACATACCTGACATACTGATGTCACATTACAGGCCCAGCGAGTTGCAATGTGTTTACGACCAGAAAAGTGGCTCATTTCTACAAGCCAGCTGAGGTGCAGTTTCCCTTAGCTACTTCACTACCAAATTACATGTCTAAAGTCAAAGATTTACTGGCAGCATACCAACCTCCTACCAGATCTAAAAACTGGGTTATCTGCTTTCCACAGCACAAGATCTAAGACTTAAAACATAGCTGGTTTTGTTGACACAGAAGGCAGGATATGACAGCTTTGTAACTCCATCCCTAATCTAATACAAGTTAAATCTTTGTTCATGAATTAAGCTAACAGCACCTTGAAAACCAGGGAGGAGAAAAGTTTAAACGGCTTAATTTGGTAAAAATCACCATGTGATTTCAGCCACAATTAACTGCAGATGTGAAAAACCTTTGGCATTAAGGGCTGTACTACTTAAAGTGACTACTAACAGTCCAATATGCAGTGATAAAAAGAAATATTTGCAACTGACATCTGAGACTACATTTCTGAAACTATACTGCACAATCATCTTTAATGCTACTACTACTGTATGAATATATAGTTACTCACACTCTTTTGGTTCTTATTCCCTATGCACTGTGCTAAGTTTACAGAATAGTTTAAAAGCTGCATTTTAATAGACACAACCAGCAGATTGTCTTGCTTTATGTTCTTATTCATTGAGTTACTCCTATTGCACATAAGATTATAATCCTTTGTGCCAC